TTATTTGAATAAGTTATGTTTAATTATGTTCACCTTCACTTAACTTCAAACACCCCAAGTATGAAATTCCAGGCAGTTACCACTATGCAATTATAACATTTTCTCATTAATTATGCAAATTAAGTCTTCATTTGCATAATCAATATTTGCCTGTGTTTCTCTCGTTCTTAATAACATATGTTACAAGCTTGAACTTCCTATCATGGAATGCAGCTGATTTATAGAATTTCCTCATTATTTATGCAAATTACATCAATATTTGCATAATTGTAATACCATTATGTCAAGCATCACTTAAGCTACCTACATACCAAAAATCACGATGATCCATCAATCGGTTCTTGAGCTATCCTCTTTTAAACATTTGTCCTTTAAACCCCCTGCAGTTCTAGAGCAAGCAACTAGGGGGCTCAAACTCATGTCACTTCATCCCCAGCACAAGAGCTATCTACCACCTAAATTTGGTTACCCTAGCATGTCTGAATCTTGAGATATCAAAACCGGAAGTTCTGCTGCAGTACCATAACAAGCCGCCAGGTGGCCCAAAATCTAATCATTTTGAGGTCTCATCAAGACTTACCCACCTACCAAATATCAAGTCAGTCCATTTAAGCCTTCTCAAGTTATCGTGTTTACAGACAGACAGACACACACACACACACATACACGAACGCCTCTGAAAACATAACCTTCTTGGCGAAGGTAATAAACAATATTTGTTCAATGCTTTGGTTAAAAAGGTTACTAGAAAAATTAGAAATGGAAAGTAAAGAGCTATGGAACTTCTTTTAAATATATTTGCAACTGTATCAAAAATTGATCAATCAGTCACCTAGCAACTGAATTTCTGAAACTGAAAACCATATAAATGTTAAGTCGGTGAAGGTTAGACATCAGGTAATACGATACCCCAAAAAGCAGTTACTCAAGCAACTGGATATGATTTTTGACGAGGTTTTGACCGTTTCCAAAATCATATCCTGTTGCTTGAGTAACTGCTTTTTGGCGTAGCATATAAATGTTACAACAAAAAGTGGGTGAAAGTGAGATATCCTGTCTAAGTGTTGTTGTTTTCTCCCTCCTAGCTGGGAACGAGGTTCACAATGTTTACGGGGAAGTTGATGAGGTTTTGATGTCGACATTGACACGGACACAGGCGGCCGCGGTGGAGCGGCGCGTGTCCAACCTGAACCAGACGCTGCGGATGAAGGGCCGGGCACAGCCGCGTGACGTCAGGGACATCTTCCAACCACCTGCCTCACCTACCAGTCCCACAATGCCTCAGGAGGACTCCCACAGGGTAAGGACTTGTCTGTCCAGTCATGGCAGGGTTTTACTTAGCTGGAGATCTAATACGAGAGCACAAAAACAGCGTCTCCACGTTTTTCCAAGTTTCAAGTTTATTTATTTCACCAGGGCATACCTCAGATCCGTTGATCTGATTTTCAGGTATCCCTGGGCACACATTAAAAATAACATGACACAAGTTGAACACAACAATATACAAATAACGTTACAAACATTTACATGTACAAAACAGTCTCAGTATAGTACATTTCATCTGCAGTCATCTACATTTCTAAATGCTGACGTTGCTGTCAGTTGCCGCTGAGCAGCAGCAAGACTGTTAAATTATGGGTTCACCACACCACGAAGTGGTGGTGAACCCATATTGCTTTTTCTGATGTTTCTTCTCCTCCTTCTTCTCCTGCCATTTTTTAAATGGATTCAGCTTCTTCATTTTAGGGCCCGAGGTCCTGAAATTTGGTATGGAGGTACAGTGGGCAAATACCCCTAGGCGTTTTTTAAATTATTGTGATACAGGCTTTTAGAATGGTTTTATTTGAGTTTTTTGGCTGTGTTATAGCAAATGTATTACTGTGTTAGTGTGCCTTGTTTACCACGTTTGGGCATGAGTCATCACAATGGAATGCAGGGCATCAACCAATAGGCATGCAGCTTTCCTCTATACTTCTTGCTGATTGGCTGTTGGGATTTAACTTGATTAACACCTGCACAGAGCATTTCCATACTGACAGTATGTCTGTATTCAAGTGTTTTGGTAGGGATTTCAAGCTTTCCTGCTCCAGCATTGGAATGCGGGGCATGGACGTTTTTTTTTTATTTTGAAAATCAACAGTTTGCATTATGCAATTAAAAATCCTAACCAATAAAGTAGGGAATAGCTATCCAACTGTTGTTTTAGTTGTATTTTACTTCATATTATAGTTATATCAATGTAAATCATTGTTTTCCCTTGTGTTTCTCATTCTTTCCCTGCCATGTCGTAAAATGTGGTGAACCCATCGCTGTATTTGCTCCAAAGCAAATATTGGCCTTTCTAGTATTTGTTTTGTTTTGTTTATATGTACATGTATATAGTTATATGTTCTACTAACGCACTAAATGCATTGTCTTGTCTCTTACAAGAACAGATTCAGTTATTTACGTTCCTTAGTGTCCCCTCCTTCAGTTACCCTTGTTTTTATATGTACCTGTCACCTGTTTTGTAACTAACACATGTGCAGCTGCTAGTAATCCGATGTAAATCGGGCTAAGCAGTACGTAAAATGAAAGAATGATGATGAAACAAGAAGGGCCCAAAAAAACAGGATGCCTAGATTTGAAATATACTAATGGACAACAAATGTTGGGACACAAATTGAATGAGGTGACACCGTGACAGTGTAACAACAAACAAGTCTTTTAATCATCATAAGAACAGCAATAAATCAGTGTCAATGAGACAAATCCCCCCCAAAAAATTACATAAACTCTACATATTTCATGGAGGTATGAGATCTCTAAATTCTTGTTTTTTTCTGAGAACATACCAAAATCAATCCGTGCAGGATGTCATCCATAAAAATTACTTGGTGTGGCCTAAACTCACAGTCTAGTAAAGAACACCACAATGCTACAAGTCTAGGCTTTCAACATAGTGAAAATGGCAAAATTAAAATGTAATTGTTACGTGTACCTTCTTAGGTGACCTAGGGTCATGTGACAATCTCTTTGTTGCTTGTATTGTTGTCTAATATTGATGTTTTTGTTCTCCTTAGCAACAGGAAAGTAAGAGCACCCTGGTAACGTTTGGCCAATGTGCCAGAAATGGACTATTAAATGTGTAGCTCACACAAAAGAATTGGTGGTTGTACAATAGTCTTGTATACTGATGACGGAAGTGTGTAAAATGTGAGGTTTGTGGGGCCAGGAGACCAGAGAAATGCTGTTGTGCTGGGAGTTTGATTGGCACTCTTGTCAGCTGTAGTTTTTGTTAAGTCAGGGCTAGAAATACCACCTGCACATATGCAGGTTAGGTTAGGCCACACCGACTTTATTTTATGGATGACATCCTCTGAAGACCCCCAAACTAGTGCGTGCGGGCGAATAAAAAAAAATTCCGGCCAAAAATAAAAGTGCTACTAAACCACAAGTCAGTTAGAATACAAAGCAGGTATTGTGAATTTGCGGCAGTACTTAGCGACGTATATGACAAGCCGGCACATGCTGGATTTTTTAGGAATTTATGTACGTATGTACTAAGTTCTTGAGTCGTGGAGCTTTGTAAGCCTGGGTGCCATCCTCCAGAGTTACCACCGGCTTCGTATTGTCGCTAACTACCATGGACTACCCAGGCCTAGAGCCAGAGCCTCGGTGAACGTGATTTTTTTTTTTGAGAACAGGCGAAAGTGAATGCGCTCACGGATGTCATCCATAAATTTAAGTCGGTGTGGCCTTAGTAGTAAAACTGGAGGTGTGTATGCAACTATTTCAGATGTCTACCTGCAGCTAAACCATTATCACGAGAATATTACACACATGTAGCTGTAGTTAACTTTTTTGCTAAAAGTTAGGTTGCCGTGTCATTTAGATATATATGCAGGGTAGTGCCAGGTAAGATGTCTTCCTGTACCAAACATGATCATGATAAAACTACCATTACACAGTGCAGCCTGAAATTGCCATAAGTTTAGGTTGTACTGAAGGGTAGCTGAGGACTTTTGGGAGTATTCTAAAAATACTACTAATAGTTAAGTGTGGACCTTGAGTCTTATTGTAAGAATTTGATTGTGCAAATTTTCACAGAAGCAGCCAGGTATACAATGTATGTACAAAAGTGTGCTAGTATTGTTGTGCAGTAGTTCCAGTACAGAAAATTACTAGTAGAAGAAACTTTTGAATGATTGGCAGACCTCTATAACTTATATCATAAGCCGGCCATGACGCTTTTTCTCAGGCCCTAAAATTTTCTCCATAGACATAACCATTAAGAGAAAGATTCTTTATTGACTCGACAAAAGTACAGTGACTTTTGTATGGTCTTCTACAACTACTAAGTTGTGAATGAATAAAGTCATCCTACTTACAGAATATGTATGTCGCAAACTATGTACAGAAAATATGTCAGTGAAAACATTTGCCAATGGGAAAATTTACTAAACGGTGCCAATATTTGATGAACTGTATCTCCAGCATCTTTTCATTTGGAAAGCTTCCTAATTATCCGCAAATACCGTTGTTTGATGTGTTGGTTTTAACTCCTAGTGAAAATTTTTGAAAACTTATTGGTATCAAATTCTGGCGTATGATGAGGAAGATGTATAAAGCCTTTCAATTGAAATGCCATGATCATTTTCTAATTGTAGTCTTGATACTAGCCTCAGTAACAGGTTCTTGTCTTTCCTTTTTTAAAATTGACCCACATGTGCATGTAGGTAGAACCCACACTCTTTCTAACAGAAACAGGAACGTTGTCTTCTAAACCAAGTTTTCTAATACAGCAGAGAAAATATTTTTTGGTGTAGACTCTGGAATATGCATAGAAACATTTAATTTTACTGTTACAACTGTAACAGTTTTAGATGTTTGGATGATTTGGATCCATGGAGAAAAATCGGCTTCACAAATTTGTTGAAAAGGTTTTTGGGTAATTCAAAAAATAATGTAGAAGGGAGTTAAGTTTGAATAGCGCTCTCATTGCTTTGATTCTTTTGTGTTTTCTGGCAGTTTTAATTTATTGTGTGACATGCCCAAGCCAGCACAATTTGGGATCACCTACAACATGTATGGTCCTAATCCCTGCCTTTACCGACCACATTGTTTTGAAGTATTTTGGCATATTGATTTAAGCGAGAGATAACAGTAAAATTAGCTAGTTTGAGTCTGGTTTGGAGGTGACTGTATTAAAGATGGCACCTGCTGGGTCATCTGTTAGGTCAGTTATTATGACCTCTGTACCTGTTTTATCTTGTCAATGTATGTCAGGATGTGTATTTTGCAATTTTTAAATAAAATATGCCATTCATACAATCGTCATTTATTTGATATTTTGAATTCTATCATGTTTCCTCAGGGTGCCGAGGGAAGGGAGATCATTCCCAGTCCCTTCCTTCCCGGAGGCCAGCACAGAGAAATCATCCCCAGCCCCCCTCGCAGCATCAGCCCCCCTCCCCCCTCCCCTGCGGAGGACAGCAGACACCCCCCTGTCCGGCGGAGAGTCTCTTCTTCCTCTTCTGTCAACTCTGGAGTCACAGACGCTGCCTCTGGTAAGTCTGTTCCACACCTTCTCCCTGCTTCCTAACACCAAAACCAATAGAGATTGTGACACTTGTCGTAACACATCAGACTGCTTGCACTTTTATCATATTTCACAAGGGGGCACCACTACACACAGAATCAACCGGACTGCTTTTTCCACCCCCAAATCGGACTGGACTCCCTTTTCCGCCGAACGGACTGGACTCATTTTTCCACCAACCCAGATTGGCTTAACGGGATTAGTGCTAAAAAGCACAGATATACAATGTACATCTTTAGGGAGTGGTCCAAACTTGACAGATCCTACCCGGCCGTAGGCTCAACTCTGATAGATTTTTGATTGGAGTAAGTTCCTATCAGGCTGCTTTTATTATAAGTATATTAGGCCACGCAAATTTAATTTCTTGGTTAATGGATTTTTCTAGAAAAATAATGGAGTGGCCGTGCAAAAAATAAAAAATAAAAACAGGCCTAGGCGTCCTATTATGGCCCAAAATGGTACGATAGGAGCCATGAAGTCAACACACCAGGCTGGTTCAAAATTTAAACAATGAATTTTCAACTTTTAATGATACCACTGCATTGAAAGATGGAATAACTGACAACTACTACTAGGATGAAAAGGACTGTTTTCAACTGTTCAGGGCAAAATATGAGCATTTTGCAGTTGATTCTGAATATTTATTTTTATTTGCAAATCAGAAAAAAATGAAGGGAGCAAATCCGAATGGCCTTACCAAAAAAAAACTAAATAATAGTATGATCTTGTATTTTGTCCATAGTTACACATGTATTACCATTGGGTACCCTAAGACTGCAACAAGTTTTCATTTCAACACTAGAAATTTACAAACAGTTCAACTTTTTCTGCTTTTCAGGTGTTCGAACCATGAGTGTTCAAGCCAGGCCTCAAGGAAGTCACAAGGAACTTTCAAGAAAAGTGTCTAACCAGGAACTTGTGTCAGATACGGATATATCCTTAGATTTTTCTTCAGATGCAAAACTGGTAATTAAGATCATTGCTGTTATGTCATTTTGATTTGATGACAACATGAAAACATAGTACGTGGGGGCAACTTTTTTGTTCAGGGAGTGAATAATAATCATACAAAAATATTGCTCTAGATTAAAATGTATTCAACTGTCAACTCTGTTTTTTCATGTTGCCCTCTTGCCTCAAGTTTAATGCATAAGAGTATTTAGAAAACAATGAGAAATACAACAATATAATATTATATAGAATGAAAAAGTGATTAAAGAGTATGATTTAGAAAAAGGAAAAAAAATGTTTTCAAAAAACGTAGAAAATTATGAAAAATGTGTTTGAGAGAATTTTTTCCTTTGATTGTAGGAAGTTGGGGCGAAGTCTGATGATGAGTACAGTGCAGATCAGTTACCGGTAAGTCATGTAGTACCTTACCTAATACCAGCCCAGAACAGAACAAGAAATAGCCATGCCTTCAAGTACCAGAGTTATCAACCAAGGATTGAGGTGTTCAAGAATTCATTCTTTCCTAGAACTATTGCCGAGTGGAACTCACTGTCACTAAGTACAGTAGGGGCATTGTCATTAGATAGCTTTAAACAAAGTCTAGAGCTAGAATTTCAAGGGTTAGGTGTAACAAGTCGATCGGTGTAATATAGCCAGCTGCTGCCGCACCGTGTGCCTGCAAAGCTGGTGTGTTACGCCGAAAGGCGGTTATACCAGCTATACAGATACAGATGTGACTTCCACATGGTTCACATTCAAATACAGTCCAACTTATCATGAAAGTTCATCTGTGTTGGTAGTAATCATAGTAAAACGTTAAACTTTATTCCAACACACAATTGTACAGGGATCAAATTTTCAGCGACCACTGTCGCCTCCATGAGGATAATTAATGACCAATCACTTCACAACGTGATCTCGCGAGAGTTACGGTTTACAAACACTTTCTAAGAGGCATTAAGGAGGCCATATATATCAGAGCACTTCAGCCTTCACTTAATAGAGATGGTGGACGATATAAACTCCCTGGCACTTTTGATCAATTGCTTACAATTTAAAATGCTTACAATGCCCCTACTGTACTTAGTGACAGTGAGTTCCACTCGGCAATAGTTCTAGGAAAGAATGAATTCTTGAACACCTCAATCCTTGGTTGATAACTCTGGTACTTGAAGGCATGGCTATTTCTTGTTCTGTTCTGGGCTGGTAAAATGTCAATTTAAATGTCAAATGTCGGGAGATTTTCACGTATCAGTAAAGTCTCGTGTGAATAAGGTCACGTGTTTGTAAACCGTAACTCTCGCGAGATCACGTTGTGAAGTGATTGGTCTTTAATTATCCTGATGAAGGCGACAGTGGTCGCTGAAAATTTGATCCCTGTAAATTGTGTGTTGGAATGAAGTTCAACCTTTTACTATACAGTCCAACTTGTCTAAGATGACCAACCAAGGGACCGAGGAAAAGTGGTCTTCTTAGACAAGTTGTCTTATACAAAAACATGGCCACAAGACAAGAAAAAATGGTTGTTATAGCCAGATGTCCTTTTAGAGGTGGTCGCTTGGGCAAGTTGGACTGTATTTCATAGTGTAAAATGTTGCAAGTCACAAAAAATTCATTTGCTCTCAGAAAACAACTTTCTATTGGCATGGGAGAGAATTTCATAAGGTATAAGTTAGACTAAGAGAGTTTCAAGAGAGAAAGGAACAAAATTGACTTTATTTTCATTCCCTGTCAAAAAAAAGTTTTAAACACTTTAGGCCACACCAATTTAATTTGTTGTTTCTCGGATTCACCCTGTCCATTTTTTTCTGATTTGCAAAACAAAAGAATTTTGCAAAATCAACTTCAAAATGCTCAATGAAAGATACTTTAGCCCTAACCAGCCTGCTTGTATGTTCACTTCATGGCTCATATTGTAATATTTTTTTTATTTAAACCGCCTATCATGGGGTGCCTTGGCCTATTTTTTTTATTACTTTAAATTAGTATTATTTTGCCCTGTCGCTCCACATTTTTTTCTGAAAAAATCAGAGAAGCAACAAATTAAATTGGTGTGGCCTTAAGTACAAAAAAACATAATGACATGCTCCAATGATTTGTTTTGTTGGTAGAATTTTACTCTAGTGAAAGATAAACTTGGAGTGACCAAAGTCGGTGACCTGTCTGAGATGGACATGAAGAAAGTCCGCTCGTTAGCGCTGATTGAACTGACCGCTCTGTTCGACACACACAACATCGAACTCAAGAGAAGACGGCCAGGCAAGATCAAGTTGAAAGGTCAGTTTGTGTTGGATTTTTTCATGGCAAAAATGTTGTATAAGGCCACAGCAAGTAATTTTTGGCGACGCCTTTGGGGCGGAGGCATTTGTGTAAGTACTACGATCGCTTTGAAAGAATTTCAAAAATTGCACGAATGCGTTCCCCAGGGAATTGGTTTGGAGGAAACCTTCGGCCATGTGGTTTTTGGATCAAGCAGGTAACTTACACCGGGTGGCCACGTGTCACCCATCCAGCTGCCTGGCATGATTAATTAGTGGTCATCCCTCTTCTCCCCACACCATGGACAGAGAGCACAGCTGTCTTTGGCCAAAGACCATATTCAAACAGGTCACAGAGAGAAAAGAAATTATCCGTCCTTTTGGAACCCACAAAAGGTAAAAAAAAGTCAAAGGAGTAACAACTTCAGACCAGACATAAAATCCAGTCTCTGGTGGAGGATAGAGTGAAGTGGAGGATGGTTTTCAGCTTGGTTCTAGCGGGAACTCGACCAAAGTAAAGTAAGTAAGTATGTCATCATAAAATCTATATTGCTGGGGAAGAACGGCTGATTCCTCCTATACATGTATTTGGTATATTGCCGGGCCCCACACCTCCTCCACCCATCCTGTAGATTTCACTAAGTGCATGTCTTTATAACATAGGGAAATATGTTTTTCTGATAATTGTATATTTGTAGATTGCTAGCTCCACCACATGAAATAATATATATCATTCAGTCGTCGCCTTGGCAATGATTTTTATTGCCTCAGCCTTGTTATGGATGACATCAGCGCGTGCATTAATTTTCGCCTGATTTTGGAAAACAAAAACAAGAAATTTTGTTGCCCTCTGACAGTGGTCAACATGCCAAAAATGGGTAAATATGTCTGTTGCCATGCCGGAACGTGGATGACAGATAACTATGAAGAGAGGAGAAAAGAAAAGGCTCTGATTTAATTTTTTTTTTACTTTGATGCAGTGATATGTGATGCTGGCTGTGTATATGTGATGTTCTCACTGAATCAAAACCATTTGTACAATGTTGATGAAGGTTAGACATCCAGGTAAACGATACTCGTAAGAAAATTCAAACTCTACTACTGGATCAGTTAACGGATTTATTTCCGGACGTTTCGAGTGACATCCATCACTCTTCTTCAGCGTCACAAATGAACAGAGAACCGATTCACTCTTATATACAAGTAACTAGAAAAACCGGTTAAACAACAAGGTCCGTAAGAAGCTTTATCATGTAAAAGAACGGTTCACTCAATCATTTGTACAATATGATTAAGTCAAATTTGAAAATGTAGGACCCTTGTTTTTTTGGACGACCCGCCTTGTTTTTTTTCGCCCGCTCGCATTAGATTTGGAGTCTGCGGAGGATGTCATCCATTAAATTTACTTGCTGTGGCCTAAGGCATCCAGTCCAATTTCAGGGTGGCAAAACTGAATTTTTAAAGTCATTTATCTGGTCATAATAAGTTAAACCAATCCTATCCAATATCATACAGTACATCTGATTTCTTTAAGATAAAATACAATGTGGCTGATGGAAAATGGTTGCTTGTTTTCTATCCGGCTGCAGTAAAAATAAAGCTCCTTTTGGGGATCTTTCAAAGTATAAAATGATGACAAAAATGAGATAAGAAATGATAGTAGATGACTGTCAATATGAGACAGATTTCCTCATCCAGACTATTTTGGCTGCCCTGAAATTGTATTTTACAAAATCTATATAGTGGTATAATTTTTTTGTGAAGTGCAAGACAGTATTACAGATTTTGTTGCTTCTAGCATGACACATAGATATATATATTAGTAAGCTTGCTTTAGATGATTTTGTTACATAAATTCAAATAAAATGATGTTTTCGCTCCTTATGAAAAACTGTTCTCCAACTCAAAATTTGAGTCTCCAGAAATTTTCGACTGAATCACTCAGTCTTCCTCAGCTATCTGACCCAAATACTGTGAACACGTGATTTTTCCCACGTGTGACGTCAGCAAAGAGTCAAAGGTTGTCTGAAGTCGATATCGCCCCCCGTCCCAGTTGAGCGATGGTTGAAGTGCCCTGATGACCCTTTGCTGAAGTCACACGTGGGAAAAATCACGTGTCCACAGCATTTGGGTCAGATAGCTGAGGAAGACTGAGTGATTTGGTCGAAAATTCCTGGTGACTGAAATTTTGACTTCGAGAACAGTTTGAATTTTTCATTATGTAATTTACCAACTCAGATGAACTTTCATGCTGATATTTTGGCTCCTGTCCTACAGAAACGGGAGTGTTTAGTGTCCCACTGGAGGTTCTGGTAGAACAAGACCAGAAGAAAAGAGCTGGAATCAAGACTCCTCTCATATTACAATCTGTAAGTCAGAACTGTCTACACTACACATACATGTACATGTATCACTCATGCATGTGTTGAGTCTAACAATCTGTATTGTTCTCTATGACGATGATGGTTAGACCTCCAGGTAATACGATACGCCAAAAAGCAGTTACTCAAGCAACTGGATATGATTTTGAAAACGTCAGACGTTTCAGCTAGTATCCACTAGCTTTCGTCAGTGACTGAGAGACCAGAGGGGAAAGCAGGTTTATATACACAACCTGTTGATTGATATGCAAATAAAGTGAAGACAAATTTTTGGAAGTCGAAAAAGGAACAAAAGTCAGACAAGTCAAGACAAGATGATGCAAATTAGTCTGAAAGCTCCTGTTATACAGGACAGGAGTGATCAAAACTCTCTTCCATCGTGCAGACAACATTGTCACTTCAGACCAAGCCAAAACGGACGAACAAAGACACCTCCGAGGCGCCCTGGCTAAATGTGGCTACCAAAACTGGACTTTCAACAAAGTGCTCAAACCTTCAGATCAGTCTAAGAAAACCCAGAAGTGCAAACCATTGACCAACAAAAACAAGGCCAACATCACTATTCCGTATGTCCAAGGAGTATCTGAGAAACTCCGACGGATCTTCCAAAACTTCAACATAGCCACTAGCTTCAAACCTCACTCAACCCTCAGACAAAGACTGGTACACCCTAAGGACCGACCTCACAAGGGTACCAAGGCGAATGTTATTTACAGACTCAAATGTGAGGAGCCCAATTGTAACAACACCTACATCGGAGAGACAAGTCGACCGCTTAAGTAAGGTACAAGAACATTG